GAAATCAATGAAGTTGAAAACAAGAAATTGGTAGAGAAAATCAACAAAATAAAAAGTTCTTTGAAAATATCAATAAAATCAATAACCCTCAAGCCAGGCTAACCCAGAAAAAAAGAAAGAACACACAAATTATAAATATCAGAAATGAAAGAGGAAACATCACTAGAGATCCCATGGGTATTAAAAGGATAATAAAGGAAAATTATGAACAACTCTGTGTCCACAAATTTGATAACCTAGATGAAATAGACCAATTCCTTGAAAGACACAATCTGTCAAAACTTCCATAAGAAGAAACAGACAATCTGAATAGGCCTATGTCTATTAAAGTAATTGAATCAATAATTAATAACCTTCCACAACAGAAAGTAGCATGCCCAAAAAGAGAATCTTGAAAGCAGCAGGAGAGAAGTGACTCATCATATACAAGTTGTCCTCAATAAAATTAACAGCTGATTTCTCATCAGACACCATGGAGGCCAGAGGTAATGGGATGAAATAGTCAAAGTGGTGAAGGAAAAAGACTGACAACCAAGAATACTATATCTGGCAAAACTATCCATCAAAAGGAAGAAGAAATTATAATATTCAAGATAAACAAAAACTGAGAGATTTCATTGCTAGCAAACCTGCCCTATAAAAAATACTAAAGGAAGTCTTTCAGGACAAAATGAAGGGATATTAGAGAGTAACTTGAATTTACGTGAAGAGGTAAAGAGCACCAATAAAGATAACTACATGGGTAAATATAAAAGACAGTATAAATGTAGTTTTTGTTTGTAACTCTTTTTTTTCTCCTATGTGATTTAAAAGACAACTGCATATAGCAATAATTATAAATCGGTGTTGGTGAACACATAATGTATAAAGATATAATTTGTATGAGAATAACAGCACAAGGAGAGGGGAGGGAGTGGAGCTATATAGGCACAAAGCTTTTGTATACTATTGAAATTAATTTGGTATTAATCCTAACTAGATTGTGATGTTAAGACATTAATTATATTCCTGAGGGCAGCCACTAAAAACATAACTTAAAAAAATATAGTAAAAGAAATGCCAAGGGAATTAAAATGTATACTAGAAAATATCTTTTTAACGTAAGAGAAGGCAGTAATAGGGGAATAGAGGAACAAAAAAGATTTAAGACATATAGAAAACAAATAATGAAATGGCAGATGTAAATCCTACTGTATCATTTATTATATTACATAAAAATGGATTAAACACTGCAATTAAACAGTAGAAATAGGCAGGATGGATTTTTAAACAAACATGATCCAATAGTATGCTGTCTACAAAAGACACACTTTAGACTGAAAGACACAAATAGGATGAAAAAAGATATACAAAAAATAACAATCAAAGAGCTGGAGTGGCTATACTAATTTCAGACAAAAGAGATTTTAAGACAAAAATTTTTACAAAGAGGGACATTTGGTAATAAAAGAGTCAATTTGCCATGAAAGCATAATAATTATAAACACATATGCACCTAACAATAGACTTCCAAAACATATGGAGCAAAAACTGACAAATTGAAAGGAGAAATAGTTCAACAATAATAGTTGAAGACCTCAATATTCCACTTTCAATAATAAATGGAATAAGTAGGCAGAAGATCATTAAGGAAACAGAAAACTTTAACAATACAATAAACCTACTACACCTAACAGATATCTATAGAATGCTCCATGCAACAGCAGTATAATACACATTCTTCTCAAATGCACACAGATTATTCTCCAGAAGAGACCACATGTTAGGCCAGAAAACAAGTCTCAATAAATATGAAAGGATTGAAATAATAAAAATATGTTCTCTGACCACAATGGGTAAAATTGAAAATCAATAACAGAAGGAAAATTTGGAAATTGACAAATATGTGTATATTAACAGCATGCTCCTAAATAACCAATGGGTGAAAGAAATCAAAAGGTAAATTAGAAAATACTTTGAGGTAAAGAAAAACAAAAACTTTATTTATTAAGACTTATGGGATGCAGCTAAAGCAGTCCTTACAAGGAAATTTATAGCTGTAGACACCTATATTAAAAAAGAAAAAAGATCTCAAATCAATAAACTAACCTTCCACCTTAAGAAATTAGAAATGATGCCGGGACAGCTGGATATCCACGTACAAAAGAATGTAATTGAACTCCTACCTCACACCATATACAAAAATTTAACTGAAAATGGATTAAAAACCTCAATGTAAGAGCTAAAATTATAAAAATTGTAGAAGAAAACCTAGATATAAATGTTTGTGACCTTGAATTAGATGATAATTTATTAGCTATGACAGCTAAAGCACAGGCAACCAAAGAAAAAATAGATAAATTGGCCTTCATAAAAATTAAAAAATTTTGTGCTTCAATGAACACTATCAAAAAAGTAAAAAGATAACCCACAGAATGGGAGAAAATATTTGCAGGTCATATATCTGATAAGGATCTAGTATCCAGGAGATATAAAGAGCTTTTACAATTCAACAAGATAAGACCAATAACCCAATTGAAAAATGGAAAAGGGATTTGAATAGACATTTCTCCAAGGAAGATATACAAATAGCCAATAAGCACATCTAAACAAAAGATGTTCAACGTGTTATTAGAGAAATGTAGATGAAAACCACAGTGAGGTATCACTTCACACCCATCAGGATGGCTATAATAAAAAAGACAGACAACAGCAAGTGTTGGCAAGATACTGAGAAATTGAAACCCATCTACATTGCTTGTGGGAATGTAAAATGGTGCAACCACTTTGAAAATAGTCTGGTAATTCTTCAAATGTTAAACATAGAGTTATCATATGACCCAGCAATTCCACTTCTAGGTATGTATTTAAAACATATGTTCTCACAAAGACTTGTACATGAATGTTCATAGCAGCATTGTAATAGCCAAAAAGTAGAAACAACCTAAATGTCCATTAACTGATAAATGGATAAACATAGTATGTATATGTATGTATATACAGGAATACACAGGAATATTATGCAGCCATAATTCCATTCCGTAATGGAATATTATCCATCAGTACCATACTGATACATGTTACAACATGGGTTAACTTTGAAAACATTATGCTAAATGAAAGAAACCAGCAACAAAAGGCCACAATTTGTATGGTTCCATTTACATGGATGAAATGTCCAGAATAAGCAAATCCATAGAGTTAATTCATGAGGGGATGAGGAAAAGGGAAATGGGGAGTGACTTCTAATGAGTATGGGGTTTCTTTTTGGGGAGATGAAAATGTGCTGCAATTAAATAGTGGTGATGGTTGCACAATTGTGTAAATAAACTAAAAACCACTGAATTGTATGATTTAAAAGGGTGAATTTTATAGTCTGTGAATTATAGCTCAACAAAAAATTTTCTAAAGAATACATTAAATAAATATGGTGACTAAAAATGAAAAAAATACCTTCACAATGGTGATCAAGATCAAAAAAAGTGGCAAATATTTTAATTTCCCAAGGGAGGCAGATTCAGATTGCTGTCTTGGTTTAATTCCAGTATTCCCACTCTTGTTTCAGAGTTCCCATTCTCACTACCACATGAATTTCAGATTCTTAATCTAACGTTCCCAAACTCCGTTAATCCTTTTCTCATTTCTTAATCTCAATTTTTCCACTTTATACCAAACATCTTGAATTGGTCTGTGTTTATCTTCCCATGTCATGCTATTTTTTTTTTCTTTGAGGAAGATTGAACCTGCGCTAACATCCGTTGCCAATCTTCCTCTTTTTCTACCCTCCTCCCCCAAAACCCCAGTGCGTAGTTGTAGGGTTGTAGCTCTTCTATGTGGGATGCTGCCTCAGCATGGCTTGATGAGTGGTGAGTAGGTCTGCGCCCAGGATCCGACCCAGCGAACCCCGGGCCGCCGAAGCAGAAGGCACGAACTTAACCGCTATGCCACAAGGCCAGCCCCTGTCATACTATTTTTAAAGAAATAGTTGCCTAAGGTATAATTTATTGCCTACATCACTGATCCTCAACTATTTTCAATTTATTTTAAACGTCATTTTAGATGTAGACGCATTAAAATGTGGCTTTTGAAATTCTTCTCTTGGAGTCTGTGCTCCAAAAGTGGTTTCTTCTCAGGCTTCATGCAAGTTTGTCCCTAAATTGACTATTGCTCCTTATTTCTCAGTAGCCAGTTACAGGTGTTGTAGTGTAAACATTCTTCCTTCAGCTGCCTCGTGCACAGCCTACTTGTAAAGTAATTTTTTTTTAGCTTCCTTCTGTCAGAATTATGAGGCAGAAGAGAAAGTAGGAGAAATGTAGAAGGATGTCTTTGAGAGGGCATTCCCTTTTCCTCCATGTCCTGCCCATTACTCATGCTTTATATTCTCTATTTTTATGTCTACTTCTTTTTTCCTCTTTATTTTTTTAAATTTCCTTTCCCTCCCACTTTCAACCCCTGAAGATTATAGGAATTAGGGACACTTAGAGTTGGAATCATTTTTCCACTGGTTTATGAAAAGTTGGGTAAGCCATGGAACCTTTCGTTTCAACAGAGATTGTACTTTGATTTTTACAAGCATTACAAGGGAGAAGTAAAAATCATCTCATGATATTCCAGGGGAGAAGGGGACTAGAATTCATCAGGATTCTCTCCCATTCTCCCATGAACTTAGTGGTTGCACACTCTAATCATCTTCCCCAACTGTGGTCAGACTCTGCAACTGCCCATTTGGACTTGGTCACATAGTAGAGATGTGACTTCACGCACGTCACTGCATCTCCGTGTCTCTCAGCCTTCGTGTGTGTAACCCCTGGGACACTCCAGAGAACACGTACCCCAATCTGCCTAGCAAATCAGTTTTGCAGAATATTGGTGGGTTACCATTCTCTGCCCCTCTATCCCCTCCTTGGCTCCACTGCAGTACTGGGCAAGTATACTGAGCACATGATGCTTTAACAAGTGTGGATGAACAGAGAATATCAGCCAGTCAGCAAGTACAGCGAACAGAGTGTGTAACTGCTCAGAGACAGGCTGCTCTCTCAAGCCACACTGTCAGTACCTGTGTCCTGGGTGCCCAGACCCAGGAGGGCTTCATCATTTCACTCTCAGAGAACCTAGGCCCTAGCAGCTGCTATCTGCTGAGCCAGCTCACATGTTCAAAATCTCACCCATCTCACCTGCCTCCCTCCCGCCTTCCCCCTTTCTGTCTTTCTTTCTGTCAAACATCACTTTCAGCTTCTTCTGAAGCTTTTTTTTTCCCCCCAACTAATTCACAGCCTCTTTTCCCATGCCACTTCCCATGTGGCAGTCAAGTGTCGGTTTAGTGTCTCATAACACCTGTGATAACAGGAATATTGGAGACTGTGTCCCAAACTGTGGTCTATCGAATATAAGCCCTCCGTAATGGTCTATGCAGAAAGGGTCTGGGACTAAATAGCTTTAGGAAATACTATTTTTGCCTCTGCTCATGGTGAGCCCCACTGCCAATTCCTATGACAAACGCTTAGACAAGTCCTATGATAAAGAACCTGTTGAAATTGTTTATTTTCAAGCTCCTCAACCTTTTTGCTAAGGGTTTTTTCAGAACCCTCTTTCTGAGTTGCAGTAGAAGTAGTGTGTGGAACACAGTGTGGGCAACACTGAACTTGGCGCTCTCTGAGGTTGGTGCCAGATCTGGAGCTCTAGGTTATTCATTAGCTGATGGTTCCCTTGAAAGGCACACAGACCTGGCATGGCAGGAACCAGGTGCTAGACAAATAACTTTCAGTGGAGAAGGAAGGGGGTATAAGTTAGGGTTCTTCAGAGAAACAGAACCCATAGAATGTGTGTGTGTGTGTACGTGTGTGTACGTGTGTATACACAGAGAGAGAGATTTAAGGAATTGGCTCACGTGACTGTGGAGGCTGGCCAAAATCCAAAATCTGCAGGCCAGTCTGGCAGGATGGAGACCCAGGGAAGAGCTGGTATTGCAGTTCAAGTCCAAAGGCAGCCTGCTGTCAGAATTCTCTCCTCCGTGGGGGACGTCAGTCCTTTTTCTATTAAGACCTTCAACTGAATGGATGGGGCCGACTAGATATGAAGAGCAAATCTGCTTTACTCAGAGTCTACTGATTTTAATGTTAATCTTGCCTAAAAAATACCTTCACAGAAACATATAGAATAATGTTTGACCAAATATCTGGGTACCGTGGCCCAGCCAAGTTGACACATACGATTAACCGTTGCCATGTGGGGGCAGTTACGTGGTAATAAATCCTTGACGGCTGTGAGCCACTAGGGAACTGCACCTTGAGGGGAAGAGAGGGCACTCATAAATTGTGCCCAATCTGTCTTTTTGCTGTGGCCCTGGCTATAGCCGTGATGTTTCAAAAGCATTGGCCAGTAGGTAGTACTCATTAAAACGTGTTCTAAGATTGATAAGTAGGACAGAAAGGACCAGGCAAGTCAATTCTCTGGCACAGATGTGATCTGCCATGTGCTTCTCCTGCCTGTAACTGAGAGGAAATCTTTTGCAACCTGTCGCATGGACTAGGAAAGCAGTGTAATCATGATGAGCTGTGAGCTCACGTCTCTATAATAAATGAAGGTATTATCCTGGGCTCTGTAAGTGAGAATTGATGTAACGCTTTTAATTAAGATAACTGCAGGGGAATGGAAATGAGCCCCTAGTAAGTGACTCTAATGAACCGATGATGCTCTTCTCCCCCCCCCCCCCCCCCCCAGGGAAAATGAGGCTCAGCCACTACTGGGTGTAATTAGCAGTGAAAGTGAAAAGATTCCCCCTTGCTCTCCTTTCTTCGGCTTTGGAGCACCTGAGCTCTTTGTTTTTGCAGCTTGGCTGCCCCTTCTTTCCTTTATGAAATTCAAGTTGCTTTGGAGTCTTGTTCCCAAGCCCCTTTTCAGCTAGAAGGAGTCAAAAGTGAGTTTCTGGCTCTTTAAAACCCCTTGTTAGAATTGGTTTGACGTGTTTTAAGGAAATTCTTTTATGATAAGCTTGAATTTATAATTGATAAAGGGCTCTTGTCTTTTTAAAAGAAGGCAGCCCGAAACAGAGCAGACGTACATGAGAGTGTGTGTGTTGCTATGGAAATAATTGAATGAAAATTTTATTTCCTACTACACCTATTAATCAGAAAGAAGGGAAGAGAATGAAGTAAGAAGAAAGAGGAGACAAAGGCTTAAATGTAATTAACAATAATTGAGGAAAAATAGTCACCCAAAGGGTTTCTCCGAGGAGGCTGATCCCACTGACAGAAACGGCTCCATTCTCTTTCTGCTGTTTCCCTGTGATGCAGGAGAACCTCCGGGATCAGAAGCTCTGGGAAGCCTCTGATTTGAGCTTCCTGTACAGGGTGAGAAGACGCTTTGTGAATCATGTAGAAACCAACTGCTGGCCTTGGGGACAGTGCCCTACGGGGCTTTTGATGCCGGAATGGTTTAAAGTTCAAAAGCCAAAAACAAACTTCTTTGAGAAGTTTCAGCTCCACTAGGTTTCAGAGTGCATTATTTAAAAGGTGTTCTATTAAAATTTGAGGACATGGCTCACAGGTAGCATTAATAGATCCTTTATGTATTTTTGAGAAACAATTGGCTCTAAAGTGTTTTATTTCTTCAAATCTTATGCTATATATCGCCTTAAATATAGTAGGGTAATATTTTTGTTTCTCTAATAGTGAGTGCTACTTTTTAATGAAAAGTATAATTTACTTGAGTCTGTGTCTGGTGGAAGCATAACTGGTGGATCACCAAATCATAATTTAGAAAGCTCTTTCTGTCTTACCCTAGATGCAACGCTTGGCTGCACAGTACAATCACCCAGGGAGCTCTGAAAAGTCCCAATGTCCATACCAATTAAAACAGAATCTCATGGGTGGGGCCCAGGCATCAGTATTTTTTAAAACTCCTCAGAAGATTCCAGGGCACAGGGTTGAGAACCACTGATCTAGGTGGAAATAAACAAACTCTGTAGGGCTGGTGGACCTAAAATGCGGTAGAGCACATCATTTAAAAACCCCTCTCTGCCCAGCAGCCCCTCCCATCCTCCTAGTGCTCTGCTGGTCCCAAGGGGGCAAAAAGCTCAGGGTCCTTTCTGCCTTCCTTCTAGTGGCATGCAGATAAATGTTTACCCATCCGCTCGCTGGAATAAAAAAGCCCTGATTTGTAGCATCTGCTGATTGCCAGATTGTGTAGATAGTCCCAGCATGGTCAATTTCACCCCACCATTGTGCTTCCACTGAGCACCGAGTTGGGAGGAGAGGTGCGCAGTCAGCTCTCTTGGGCCAGTGCAAGCCAGCTTCAGACCCCGGTGTCTCCTCCTCACTTTCAGATTTGCTCACCCGCTCCTCTGTGCCCACCTCCAGATACCCCAGTCTCCCTTAGGTGGCAGTAGGGGTTTTGAGCCACCTAGATAAAGACTTTGCTGCTTGTGTGATAAGCTGGCTTATATGGTCTTCTGCTCCGGTAACATAACACCTCCTCCCACTTAAAGAGTATAGATAACCTTTGGAAAACACCAAGGGAATGTGCCTAAGGCTGAGGATGTTTGGGCAATTGGCCTCCTGGGTTATACTTTAACCTGTGAACCTGACGAGGTGAGTTGTCATCGATACAGCTCCAGGCGCCTAAGCTGAAGTAAGAGGTTTCTGAGCCTGCAGAGTTGAGGTCCAGGCTCTGAATCAGGATGAATTCATCAAGTTAACAGGGGAGCTCCCAGGAGGCAGCCTGCCAGCCTTCTCAGGTTGACTGACTTCCTCCTCAGTGCAGGTTACATGCCCCTCCTTGTCTTCCCAACTCGTTACAAAGCACTTTGACATGACTTTTCTCAATGAATCACTTCAACACACTTAGGAAGGCCAAGCTAATGCCATCTTCCATGTGTAGGTGAAGAATTCTGCTGAAGTTCAGAGAGGTTAAGGGAGTAACTCACCTAAGTTTGAACAGCTTGCCCAAGCTAGTAAGTGGTGGAGTAGGACTTGAACCCAGAGCTTCTGACCCCAAATTTAATGCTCTCCTGGCACACAGCCTTGGTCTATCAGCCATCCCCACCTACGCATGGGCCAGCCAACTTAGGTAGAGGAGGAAGTGAGATGAAAAGTGGCGATTCCTGCCTTCCAGCCTTGTGAACTAATGCTTTGCCAGTCCTGCTTTGGAAAGCATGCTTCCTGATATGAATGTGATCTAACAAAGAGCATGTTCCAGCTTGGTAAATATTAAGTTGAGGGTGAAATCTGAATGGCTTGTGTAATATGAATGGCTGATGAACTGTGATTCCAAAAATAGAATCAGGAGCAACCTCTGCTGAGAGCTACTCAAATCCAGAGGACACTTGGGACTCTAAGAAGTGGCTACAGAAACATGGCTTGAAAGCCCAGAGGCTGTCATTTTATGATGTCCTTGCTGACTGCTCCTTCCGCCACGCTGATGGAGTTGTTGATATAAAAGCCAAACCAGAGAACGAGTCCGTGCAGACCAGTGCGGTAAGTGGAGTGAACTCCTGGGCAGGGCTGTGGCCTTCTCTTGATGCCCTGGGGGGTAAGGCCTCCCTCAGACCAGAACCCCGGGCAGGACCAGGGTTGAAAGGCAGCATGGAGGGAAACCAGCTTGGATTTCCATGAAGAAGGATGCCCCTTCTGCTTTACACCTTACACTTCTCTGAGTGTTGCTTGTGGGAGTGGAGATCAAGTCTGGGAATGGTTTCTAGACATAAGCAAATTATATGATAATTATACATAAACCAGGAGCTGGGCTTGTAGAAATTCAAGGCATTATGAGTCTCAGAGTTATTCAACACTATGTCAAAAGAGAAGCCCTTTGTTCCCCAATATGGAACAGAAGAGAGAAATGCTGGTGACTATGCCCCAAACAGGCATTTCTATGGTCTTCTTGTATTGTCATTATTTTAAAGATACATTATTCTAGTGACTACCAGTCAGCATTTAGTGGATTCCCAGTAAACATAAAATCAGATTCTCTAAGGGGTTATAGTAGGGGAAGGGTATGTATTGAAAACTTTTGAAAGCTGTAGTTCCATTGTGTCAGTGGGTCTGAAAGGAATATAACTTCTCAAAGTGCCCAACTCTGGCTCGTGATGGAAAGATAATGAGCTATAGTAGTGGCTCCTGAACTTGAGCGTGCATGAGTCGGTGAGTTTGAGGTGGGGCCCAAGAAACGCATTTATAACAATCTCCAGATGATGCCGAAGCTGCTGGTTCAGGGGCCACGCTTTGAGAAAAACACTAATGAGTAGCACAGGACCCAGAAGACTGCCAAAATTTTGGAATTATTGAAAGACTAAAAAGTGGCACAATATGAAACAGAAAATAGGGATAAAATGAATATTCTGAATTTGTAAAACTGAAGGAAAGCTCTTCTAGAAGGTAGTAAAGGCCCAGATACACACTGTGAAATGAAGGCTGAAATGCAAGCAACAGAACAGATGTCCGGATAATGGCAACCCAGCAGAGATAGCTGGGAGGGGCAATCAAGGTCGTTCCCAAATGCAGTGTCACTTATGTATTCTCTAAGGCTCTGGCTCAATGTCAAGATCATCCCTGGGATGTCTGTCAATCCCACAGAAGTGAAACCCTGGTCTCTGACACCCCTTCTCAGGCTGTCTGGCCCCTGGGCTCCACACATCCTCCCCAGGAAGGGCTCTTTCCTTTGGGGCTACATCAGCCATGTGATGTTGTGTTTTTACCCTCTTACTGCTGTGTTTACAATGAACTGCAAGGAGGAAAATATAAAAATTGAATTAGAAAAATGCAGAATTGATGCAAGAGTCGTTTCCTGGCTTATCTACCGGGATGCAGAGTAATTGCTACAGTGCAGGGAAATCTCATTTGTGGATTCCTCCCCCAACACAGTGTTCTGATTTCGTGGACATTATTCAGTAATGTTATTAGTTCAGGAAATCATACATAACTAAATTTTCATTTTTTAAATACATTAGGCCCTGGGTATTTAAAAATATTAATCCCTGTCCATTGAACATAGCTCACTGTGGGCGCCTGTCCTGCAGGTCTGTCTCTAACACTGATCTTCTTATTCCTTCTTGATAATTTTAAGTGAAAAATTACAGGGACAGTTTGAAAAGTTTGGCTTATCAATGGGACTTTTACCTCAAATTTCTTGTGCTCACAAGTAATAATATAGTAGAAGTTGAGAAGTATACGGTACAGCTATCCTCTTTCACAAATGTTGATGAAAAAGGGACAATTTTATTTTTAGTATTTGGGGCTACATATCTGAAACTGGATTCACACCTAAAATTGCAATGTGTATAAGGTCGGGTGAAACTGAGGCTGTGACAGAGGTAGGTTATTTAGGGTTCCCCCAGACTCCCACTGGCAGGACCCCTTAAACTTTTAACTATAAAAACGGGTTTGTAGGTATGGATCCAGAAAACTCATTTACATGGGGAAGTAAGTGACTAACAAGGCCATGCTATGTAGCATTTCTAAGATGGATGAGCAGGTGGGAGGAGGCGACAAAAATGCATTTCAAATTAGAGAATTTCAGGCAAAGCCTAGTAACTTGATATTTTGGGGCACCCTGAAATCACATTGCATTCGTGGTTGCTTGTGCTGCGTGTGCACAAAGCCAGCCCTGATGTTGAAACACCCACTCTCGTCTCACCATTTATTTCTCTAACAAGTATTTATTGAGCCTTCACTATGTACCAGGCAGTGTGGTACGGTGGGAAGTGCACCGGATTTGGAGTGAGAAGACCTGGGTGTCAATGCTACTTCTACCAGTGACTAATTATGAGATGTTGAGCAAATAATTGAACCTCTTTGAATCTCACTCTCCACATCCATAAATGGATGGTGTCCAGTCCAAATAATAAAGTGCATGCCTGAGCACAGTGCCCAGCACTTAGGAGACGCCCAGTGGAGGTTACTTTCCTTCTTTTCTTTGTTACAAACATTGTGAGTCAGAAATGAGCATTTGTGGAAGGCGTTTACGCTTTGTATACAAGGTGAATATTCGTGCTCTTGTTTTGCACATGAGAAAACGAAGTCACAGGGCCTCTGAGAGGTTAGGCAGGTCACCTGCCATCTCACGGCAGGTAGCGGCAGGTGGAGGTCTGAGGTGGAACTCAGACCTGTTGAGCTCACACTGTGCTTTTCCCATCCTGACACTCTGCTGCCTGACACCTGGATTTGTGAAACTTGTGGTCTGGTGTGTTTCTATTTAGGAGTGCATAAGGCACAGATGGGAAATGCCATGTGACGGGATTGAGAGTGGGGAGAACTCTCTTGTGTGACATCGCCAGAAGCGTGGTGAGAGTGAGGGAGAGGACGTCTTTATCCTTCCATCATTGCACTGCGGTGGAGGTGTGGTTCCCCTCTGCCTGCCTTGGAGGACTGATCTCATCATGCCCTTCAACCCTGCTCAAATCAGTCACCACTGGACCTCTGAATTCTCATCCCTGTGTGGCCCTGACATTCCTTCTCTGAGTGTCCTCCATTCTTCCCTGACTCCTGAAATCCCTCCACCGAGCCCTCTGGAACTAGAAGTCATCAGCAAACCCCCTATAGCCTCCCGTGCTCTGAAATGTTCCCTTCGCCTGCTTGTCTGGGTTCTCTCTCTCGAGGACCCTCGTTTCTCCTCCATTCTCCTGTAGGCCAGGAGGTGGGTGGTGTTCCTCCTTGTTCTTCTTTGCTGCTTCTTGATCATTCTCCCTCCCTCTTCCTATGTCATCAGAATGTACCACCTGCTACACCTCCTGTGGCTGTCACCTACTGAGCCCTAGGTCATCTCTGTCAACCCTTGAAGTTTATAGCTTCTGGCTTGCTGTCACTGGCTCCAACTTTTTAAATTCTTAGTGATGTCAATGCCATGTGGATGACCCTTCCTATACCCGACCTTTTATTTCTCTGACCTCCTCTCTTTCAATGACTTCCTCCTCCCCTCCATCTCTATCACTCCTGCCATAGGCACCCTCTTGTTCTTATTACATTAACTGTGTCATCATAACCCACGTAATCAATTCCAGAGGTCCCACTCTCTGACCACTTTTCTTTAGGTCATTTCCTCTACTGCCCTAATTCCACCAATCTTTCAACCCCAATGGGATATACAGTTTGTTGTTTCTACCACCTTTTCTCTGTCCTCTCTATCCCTTTGTCCCTCTCATGCATTCTCAACTACTTTTCCCCTCTCGTACAATATTACACTCATCTGGCAAAATCCCAACCCTGGTTAAATCCAACTTTCTGCCTTTTCTGCCTTGCACCTGTGCATTTGACTGCAGTAGAGGAACCTGGAGAAAAACACACAGCCACCATGCCTGTTTTCACTTTACATTCACGACCTCCAACTTCAGGCAGATCTTTTGTGCTGCCCAGCAATCCTACTGTGCTTTTCTGGTCTACTCAGACTCTCATTCTCCAAGGTGTCTACCTTCTCCTTTGTCCTCGACCTTCAAACACCTTCTCCTCCATGCTCACTCTCTGCAGACGACCTTGCTTCCCAATTCATTGAACATTGAAGTGAACATCCATGAACATCTACCTGCACATCTACAAATCCCCCAGCATCTGCGCATGTGTGTTCTACCCTTACTTCTTCTAGGGTGGCTGAATTGTTCTTGTTTTATCTAAAGCTAACCCCTCCCTATGTGCACTGATCGCTATCCCTTCATTCATTCATTACTCCCTCTTTCTGTTCTGTATTGTCAATATTGTCCTCATTTCTAGATCTTTCCCATCAGCATACAAACGTGGTGTTATTTCTCCCATCTTAAAAATACAGTTTTTTGACCCCCGCATTTGCCGTTGGATCTTCCTCATTGGCCTCATTTCTCTGCTCTTCTTTAGAATTCAGCTCCTCAAGCGTTTTGTACATTCCATTTCTCCTATTTTGCAGTTCTCCCCTGCTCCCTTGAATGCACTCCAATCGGGCACAGGCCCTCTATCCATCAAAACCCGCTCTTTCCGGGGATACCTGATTTGCTAAATCTGGGGTCAGGTCTCAGTCTCTTTCTTACTTGACCTATTATCAACATTTTATATAATAAGTTACTTCCTTGAAATTCTTTTGCTTGCAGAAAATATGCTGTCCTATTTTTTCTCCTACCTCACTGGCTGTTCATTCTCAGTTTTCTTTGTTACTCTTTCCCGCGTCCCCAGCCTCTAAATGCTGAAGGGCCTCAAGGCGCAGCCCTCAGACCTCTTCTCTATCTGCCCCCTTTCTCTGGGTGATCTCGTCCAGTCCCATGGCCTTTAATACTGTGGGCATGCTGGTGACTTCGAGTTTAAATCTCTAGCCCCTAGTCCTTCGCTGGTCACCACCTGACGACTTGCCACGTTACTGGGATGTCTAATAGGCATCTCGAACCTAACGCGTAAGCCACTAAATCCTGATTTTCCCCTTCAAGGCTGCTCTCCCATAATCTTCCTCCTATCGATTTATTGCAATTCCATTTTTTTAGTTCTCTGGGCCGAAAACCTTAGAGTCATTCTTGACTTCTCTCTTTTCCTTCATACCCACATCTGACCTCTCACTAAATCGTGTTGGTTCTATCTTCATGATATATGTGTAATTCAGAATCTGACCACTTCCCACCATTTCCACCACTACCCCTGGTCCATGCCACCTAACTGACCTGCTGACTCCTTGCTTCTGCCCTTGACCATCCACAGTCTGTTCTCAACAGAGTAACCGGAGTTATCTTTTAAAATGATATAGTTTTAGAAATTAAACTTTAAAACTATGAATAAAACTTAAAATTATAAATTGTGTCACTTCTCTAAGAGAGTGGATCTTAAAAGTTCTTATCACAAGAAAAAAAATTGTACCTGTGTGGGGATGGATGTTAACTAATTGTGGTAATCATTTTGCGATATATGCATATATCAAATCATTATGTTGTATACCTAAAATTTATACAATATTGTGTCAATTATATCTTTAAAAAATTATGTCACTTCTTGGCCCTGTGGCTTAGCGGTTAAGTGCGCGCGCTCCGCTACTGGCGGCCTGGGTTCGGATCCCGGGCACGCACCAACGCACCGCTTCTCCGGCCATGCTGAGGCCGCGTCCCACATATAGCAACTAGAAGGATGTGCAGCTATGACATACAACTATCTACTGGGGCTTTGGGGGAAAACATAAATAAATAAATAAAATTATAAAAAAAAAGAAATTATGTCACTTCTTATGTTAAGGCCCTTGGATAGTTCCTTTTTCACTTGGAGGAAGAGACAGAGTCATTACCATCAGCTAGCATGCTTTGCAGAATCTACTTCCTGGCCCTCCTCCTCATACTTCTCTAGTTCGTCTCGCTCTTTCCCTTGCTTACTGTATTTTGGCTACACTGGCCCTCCTAAAATTCTACAAACATGCTAGACAAACTCTTACCCCAGGACTTTTATATTTGCTGTGTCTTCAAACTCCGCTCAGACCTCCGTATGGCCACACCCTTTGTTCCTGCAGTTCTGTGCTCATATACCACCTTCTCTTTGAGGCTTTCCCCTTTTAGTTTTAACTTGTCCCCACCCAGACCCCTCTCTCAGCATTCTCTCTTCTCCTTCCTTGCCTTATTTTTCTCCGTAGCATTTGTCATCATCTGACCTGCTATATAATTACTTGTTTATTACCTGGCTCTTCCCCTGTACTGTGAGCTCCATGAAGGCAGGGATTTTGGTCTTTGTTCATGGATTGTATTCCTGATGCCTAAAAGAGTTGCAAGCGTGGAGTAGTGCTTGGTAAATTTATAAATTGGTTGGATGAGTGATAGAGAGTGACAGACCTCATGAAAGCTCTTTGTGGGAAGGCCTTGTCCTTGGACCACTTCTGTATGTCCCATAGAGGGCGCTAGATGTGGAATGGGGTTCTTGGCTACTTCATTTGGGTCTACTTCCGTTGTAGTAATAATGGAAAGATGTTTTGTCTGAGTCTCAACTGCCACCTCCTCTAGATGGTCTCCCTCACCCTCTTGTCCACTGTGAACTCTTTCTTCTTTGCCAGAACTTGCCCAGTTGTTACTGTCTCAACTCAGCACTGGGTACTGAGTATCTAGTGCCCTGCATTGCTAACTTTCTATGTGTTTGTGTGTGTGTGTATGTCTGTGTTGGAGTGTGCATACAGTGTTTCCCTGCTGGAAACATTGCCTCACTGGGGCACATATGGGATTGCTCATATCTTCCTGACATCATTCATGACATCCAGCACAGGGCTTCATATGGAGCATGCCCTAGTACATGTTTGGTTGAACCAGCAGTTGAATGATTTTATGGTGGGAATGAGTGCTAAGAGCTGTATAAATAAGGCAGAGATGGAGGTGCCATCTGGAGACTTTTCTTCTTGGAATGGTTTCTGAGTGGCTTCTGTCCTTTGTCCTTTCCTTAGGAGACCAACAAGAAGACAGTCCATGCAAAATACTGCAGTAGATTTGTCCATGCTCCCTGGAAGGACGGGAGTTTGGTCCATGTCTGCGTTACCAAGGAGAAGTACTCACGGTACAGTGAGAGAATTCGTGCAGTCCTGGCCCGGATCCAGAGGAGGTGGGTGTATTTGCAGGAGGGTACAAGTGGTCCAGTCTCTCTTGAAATTGAAATCAGCTTGACCTCTTGATAAAGGCTCAACCAGGAGAAATGGTCAATAAACATTTTTAAGTCAAGGTTGCCACCTGTCGGTTTGCTGGTGGCCTTGATAATAACAGAGGAGGATGTTTAGATTCAGATTCCAAAGCTACCTTGATGCCAGTGCAGACTCTTAAAAACAGCAAACAATGATGTAGTTATCATGTTGGTTGTGCATCAGTGTAGGAGGCTAAGGAATGCTTCTGCTCATGTCTTGCATTTTTTGTAGGCCACAGGTATATTGCACACTGTGTTACACCTGTCCTCTGTAGTCTTGAATATTACATTTCAAGGCAATATTACAATGTTGTGAAATATTTAAACACAATGGAATGATATATATAAATATACGTATTTTAGAAATCAGCTAAAAATAACTTCATGTGATCCCTCTCAACCCTGCTGGTTCTTAAAATCTTATAATGCTCGTGAGTCTCATGTACTAATGCTGTGACATCAACATCAGTCCCATGGGGCTAATCTACCTTAATGCTTTCACCTCCCAAATGCCAGGGGACAGCTTTAGACCATGAAGACCTAATCCATTTAGGTGCGTGAGCTCTGAGGACAGATAGAGCTGGATTGTAATCCCAGCTCTGCCCCTTGTGTGTGACCCTAGGCATGTTAGTTAATGTCTTTGTGCATTGGTTTCCTCATTCATAAAATGGAAATAATAATGCCATTTATAAATGTGTTCTCTGGATTAGATTAGCCACTAAATATAATGAGTTTAGGCTGGTACCCAGCCTGCAGTAGCCGCTTGAAAATGAGAGCTCCTCCTTCTATGTTTTTTTGTTCTAAAAGCACATGCCGCAGACTCCTGTCTGCTCCCTTATTAACTCTCCAGAGCCCCAGCTTCTCAAAACCAAGCTGGTGATAGGTTGCTCAGAAAAAGTAATATTTGTGTCTGGAGTCTTCTCTGCTTATGGTTTTGGGCTTGACTTTTGGGGAGAGTAGTTTGGATTTCAGATCTGGGAAAAAGGATGCTGCTTGAAAGATACCCCACCTGCCAGCTGCCAGGTCTGTTTATCCCTCTCCTCCCACGAGGAGGTGGGGAGTTTGTTGGGGAGTTTTCTCTCCTTTTCTATTTTCCAGAAGACTTGGTGGAGAATTTATATTATCTCTCCATTAAATGTGTGTAGAATTCACCATTGAAGCCATCTGGGCCTGGAGTTTTTCTTTGTGGAAAGGTTTTTAACTATGTATTCAATTTCTTTAAATGCACATAGATAGAGCTGATGTTGGTCCTTTAGGTCATCTTTATTTTCTAATCAGTCTGGCTACAGGTTATCCATTTTATAGATCTTTTCGAAGAACCAGCTTTTGGTTTAATTATTTTTTTTCTCTGTAGGCTTTTCTCCTTTCTGTGTCATTAATTTCTACTCTTTATTATTTCCTTCTTTCTCCTTACTTTGGGTTTAAATTTTTCAGATGGATGCTTATATCACTGATTTGAGACCTTTCTTTCTTTCTAACATAAGCATTTAATTTTATAAATTTTCCTCTGAGTACTGCGTTAGCTGCCACTCACAAATTTTGATATGTTGTATTTCATTTCATTCATTTCAAAACGTTTTCTAATTTCCTTTGTGATTTCTTCTTTGACAAAACGGGTATTTGGAAATGTATTGTTTGCTTCCCAAGTATTTGTGGATTTTCGTGATAGCTTTTAATTTCACTGTGGACAGAGAAATACTGTATGATTTCAGTTCTTATAAATTTACTGAGACCTGTTTTATGGCCCAGAATATGAAGAAAAAACCAAATTCTGCTTTTGTTGGGTGGAGTATGCTAGAAATATCTCAGCTCAAGTTGGTTGATAGCATTGTTCAAGTCTTCCATATTATTACTGAGTTTTTGTTTAATTGTTCTGTAAATTATTGACAGAAGAGTGTTGAAATCTTCAATGGTAGTTGTGGATTTTTCTAATTCTCTTTTCAGTTCTATTTCTTCACGTATTTCGAAGTTCTATTAGTAGGTGCATGTACATTTAGAATTGTTGTGTTCTCTTCATGAATTGACTCTTTTATTATTATGAAATGTCCCTTTTTATCTCTGGTAATATTGTTTGTTCTGAAATCTACTTTTTATGATACCAATATAACCGCTCCAGCTTGCTTTTGATTATTGTCTGCATGTTTTATCTTTTCTCTACGCTTTTACCTTCCCTTGTCTGTCTCATATTGAAATAGATTTCTTGTAGACAGATATATGGTATTATTTTTTTAATTCAATCTGACAATCTCTACCTTTTCTTTGGGGGGAAGGGGGTGAGGAAGACTGGCCCTGAGCTAACATCTGTTGCCAATCCTCCTCTTTTTGCTGAGGAAGATTGGCCCTGGGCTAACATCCATGCCCATCTTCCTCTACTTTATATAGGATGCCGCCACAGCATGGCTTGACAAGCGGCGTGTTGGTCTGCGCCCGGGATCCAAACTCGCGAACCCCGGGCCTCCAAAGCAGAGCATGCAAACTTAACCGCTATGCCACTGGGCCAGCCCCTCAATCTCTGCCTTTTAATTGGAATGTTAAGATCATTTACATTTAATGTGATTATTGATTTGGTTGGATTTAAACCTAAGATCTTGCTATTTGTTCTCTATTTGTCCCACCTGTTCTTTGTTCTCCTTTTACTCTTTTTTTTGCCTGAATATTTTTTTTTTTTTTTAAGATTTTATTTATTTTATTTTTCCCCCCAAAGCCCCAGTGGATAGTTGTATGTCGTAGCTGCACATCCTTCTAGTTGCTGTATGCGGGACTCGGCCTCAGGATGAACGGAGAAGTGGTGCCTCGATGCGCACCCGGGATCCAAACCCGGGCCACCAGCATCGCAGCGCGCGCACTTAACCACCAAGCCACAGGGCCGGCCCTGCCTGAATATTTTTTATGATTCCATTTTATCTCGACTATTGGCTTATAAACTCTACTGCTTTGTTTTGTTGTGTGTGTGACTGCTTTAGCCTTTACCATATACGTCTTTAACTTATCACAGTCTGCCTTCAAATAACATTATTATTTTCATGTATATCATAAAAATTCTACAACTTCCGTTCTTCCTTCTGTCTTTTCTTTTCTTTCTTCCTTCTGTCCTACACTTTATTTCCACATGTTTTAAACCCACAATACATTATAAACTATCAATTATCTTATAAATAGATTTAAAATGAGAATAAATGTATTTTGTATTTATCCACATATTTGATATTTCTGTTGCTCTTTCCTCTTTTGTATAGATCCTAGGGCGGGTCTGTTGGTAATGAATTATTTCAGCTGTTTTAGTCTGAAAAACTCATTAATTTACTTTTATTTTTGGAAGATATTTTTGCTAACTATTGAATTCTAGGATTGCAGTTTTATCTTTCAATACTTTAAAAATCTTTCTCCGTGTCTTTTGGCTTGCATGATTGATGATGGGAAGTCTCCTGTCATACTTATATTGTCTCTGGCTGCTTTTAAGATTTTTCTCTCCATCACTGGATTTCAGCCTTTTTAGTGTTATAATGTGCCTTGGTGTGTGTTTTTAAATTTTTATTCTGTTTGGTTTCTTTGGACTTCTTATATCTATGGGTGTATTGTTTTCATCAAAATTGGAAAAATTTAGCCATATTTCTTGAAATATCTTTTCTGTCTCCCACTTTCCCCTTCTTCTTGGTCTCTCATTACACGTTAGACTTCTTGATATTGTTCCATAGGTTACTTATTCTCTGTTATTTTTTTCAGGCTCTCTGTGTTTTATTTTTAATTGTTTCCTATTGCTATGTTTTTCTTAAAGTTCCCTGATCTTTTCTTCTGCTAGGGTCTAATTTACTGTTAATACCATGCAGTGTATTTTTCATTTCTGTTATTGTATGTCTCTAGGAGTTCCCTCTGGGTCTTTTTTTTGTATGTTGCATTTCTTGTCTCATTCTGTTCATACTTTACCTTCTTGAACATATGGATTATGTTTATAATAGCCGTGTAACACCCTTTTCTGCTAATTCTATCATCTGTGTCATTTTTGGGTCTGTTTCTGTTGATGTATTTTTCTTCTGGTTATGGATGATATTTTCATGCTTCTTTGTGTGTCTGGTAATTTTTTATTGGATACTAGACATTTCGAATTTTACATTGTTGGGTGCTGGATTTTGTTATATTTTTTACATATGTTCTGTGGTGCAGCTAAGTTACTTGGAATCACTTTGATCCCTCTGGGGCTTGCTTTTAAGTTATGTTAGCATTGGTCCAGGGCAGCCTTTAGTCCAGGGCTAATTTGGTCCTACTACTAAGGCAATACCCTTATGAGGACTCTACTTGATGCCCCATGTATTAAGGAGGCTTTCCACTCTGGCTGGTTGTAAGATGAACTATTTCCAGTCCTGTGTAAGCTCTGAGGGGTTGATCTACCTACTCCTTTTTGGTGATTCATTCCCTGACTTCGGTAGTTGCTTCACACACATGCCCTGGTCATTACTTAGCCAAAATCTCGGGGCATCCTTCTGCAGCTCTCTAGAGTGCATTCTCTCTCCCTTTCTTTCTCTCTGTCTCCATCCCTTCCCACCCTCTCTCTCTCTTTCTATGCAGTAACCTCTTCTTCAATATTTTGCCCTACAAATTCTAGTAGCTTAGGCCTTGCTGAACTCTGAACTCTGTTTCAAATATTTTTTCCATCTGCAGCCAAGAACTTAATTTACATCCTGTGATGGGAGCCTGAGCTTTGAGCATGAAAGAGTCCTCCTCATAGAACCACCTGGTACTTGCTTATTATAGGGACCTGGGGTTGGTTGAGACTATCCATAAGCTTCCCTGAAGCTTCAGGAGTGTGCTGACATTACTAGCTTGACTGCAGTCAGTAGAGTTAGAAGAACAAATGGTCTGAAGTCATAGCTGAGGCTTCAAACTATCAGATGACTGGAAGTAATTTACTTTTGGCTTTGGAACCCACTATTGGATTTAGTTTGCTGTCCTATCAATTTTCCTAGTTCTGTTTTACTTGGATTGATGATGGATAGTGGGTGGGGGTAAGGGGGTGGTAGTGATGAGGGAATCAGCCCAAATGTAGGGTTTTCTACTGGAAACCCTCAAAGCAAGTAATCCACTCACAGAAGTTTGTGTATAAACAATAAAGCACAGCTCTGGCCTCTGTAGATGTATCATTAAGTTCTTAGGAAGATGCTCATTGCCATAGGCTCTAACCATTCACTTTCAATCTTTTTCCTGCCTAGGATTAAATGGCTACAGCACGGGAGTCAAATGCTCTTTGGAAAAGTGTGTAATGATTGCGTCTATGTTCTCATTGATACATCTCACTCAATGAAGGGAAAACTGGACTTGGTGAAGGACAAGATCATCCAGTTTATACAGGTTAGATGGAGCTGTCAGGTTCATGCGTTTGGGGGCCTGTGCCTCCTGAATACATCTCCATCAGTCATCACCTGCAGTGGTTATGAGAATTACACGGGTAAGGTTTGCACTCAAAAAGCCATAGGAAAGCCACTTTAGGAGAAAGCTCTCTTTTGCCTGTTAGAGAGTTATCAGTTCTCCATAGCAAGCAGACCTTTCCTATGGTGGGTCGTTTCTGTAATGCATGTGTTGCTAAGGGAGTTTCTATGTCCATTGCTTCAAGTTTTCTCTATCCTGAAATCTGTGGTGTGTACATACCTCCATTGTTTTCTAGAGACCCTTCAGCTTGGCGTTTTTGTTTTAATTTCCAAAGTTTATTAGGGGTGCTGCGTGCACTGGCCCCGGAATTGAAGTACGAGAGGAGTGTAGGCTGATGATTAGGAACCTGCAATTCTTATTCTACCTGTGCTGCCTCTGAGTTGTGTGACCTGAAGCAGATTGCTTACGTTTCCTGACTCCTAGTTTCCATACCTATAATGGGTATCATAGTACTGTGATGAGTCAGTGGTATTTGTGTGAGTATTAACCACAGAAAATAATTGCGGGGAGTATTGACAAATACAAAATACAGTTTTTAATTTGATAAATCTCTACTGGAGAAATATGAGCTGATGGAAGGCAGATGAATAGATACGTAACGGAATAATAGCCTTACCAAAAAGATGATCACCAAGATGATGACATCATTTCGAATTTCTTTTCTTTAAGCTGATTGCACTTAGTGTGCTTATTTGGTATACCATTTTTTTTTATTTTTATTTTTTTTTAATTTTTAATTTTTTCCCCCAAAGCCCCAGTAGATAGCTGTATGTCATAGCTGCACATCCTTCTAGTTGCTGTATGTGGGACGCGGCCTCAGCATGGCCAGAGAAGCAGTGCGTCGGTGCACGCCCGGGATCCGAACCCGGGTCGCCAGCAGCGGAGCACGCGCACTTAACTGCTAAGCCACAGGGCTGGCCCTGGTATACCATTAATGTCAGTATTAAAGACAACATTTAATGTCACATTATATATATATATAACTTATATTTGATATATATAATATATAATCATACATATATACATTTGTAAATGTTAAATATCCAAACTGTGTATAAATTTTATTTAAATGCCTTTTGTACCAGAAAAGATTTTCTCTATTGAATGTAATTTTTAGCTTCTAGAACTGAAAATAGATCTCATAGTGATTAAAATTTATCAAACCATGACCCGTCCTAACCTTTTCTTACATTTGAGTAGGTTTATGCTTAAAGAAAAATTGTCTCTTACAGGAACAGCTGAAATATAAAAGGAAATTCAATTTTGTGCAGTTTGATGCTCAAGCAGTTGCATGGCAGGAAAAACTTGTTGAAATCGATGAAGATAATTTGAAAGGGGCTCAGTCCTGGGTCAGAGACATGAAGGTAAGATGCAGGCTAGATCTGGGAGAAGAAGCCTGACGTGATCACCTGCTGGGTTTATTCGCAGGATAGAAGTCATGAGAAAGTGCTTTGAGCCCCAATGATGGTAGTGGCTTCATGTAAATGCTCATTTTGTTTACAAAGGTCACATTAATCCAGTCTCATTAATCAATATCTTAATGTTTAGACAAGCTTCTATTCACAGCATCCCATTTCCAGATCTGCCCTGGGCTCATGTCTCAGCCCCTTTTCGAAAAAAAATTTCAGAATATAATTTTTTTTGTACTCAAACATTCAGATTTGTTCCTTCTGAAACCTCATTGTTGTTGTAAATGATATATTGCAGCTATTTTTAACAGTGGACTTTGTTCAAAAATAATGAACTTGTAGAAACATACAGTACAGTGTGAGTGGTTAGGACTGAAAGCAGGGAGAGAGAAAGGGCAGCAGGGTATGTATAGTAAGGAGGTGAAATAATTTCTTCAGGCCTGCGTTTTACTGGGAGACCTTTAAAGCCACTGCTCTCGGCATTTACATAGACTATGGGAAGGATTTTCCTTTCCTTAAATTTTCTCTTGTCTTGAACTTATCTTAATTTTAAAAGTTTTTTTTTTTCCCAGAACCACATAGCATTCTAGATATTTGAGATACACGAAAATTGAGACTAAGGGCTCTTTTTAAAAGGTCAAATGTAGATCACAAACATCTTTAAAATAGTTCAGTGCCTGAGTTTAGAGTCCCAGGTTTGACAAAAGCCACAATGGACATTAGCAGAGCTCCCTGGATGTCAGCAGAGCAGGGCCTGTGCTGTCATTGGATGTGCTGGAGTTCCCTTGGGATTTGTTTTTTAAAATGAGAGAGGGAGGGCAGGCCCCGTGGCTTGGTGGTTAAGTGTGCGCGCTCCACTGCTGGCGGCCCAGATTTGGATCTGGGTGCGCACCGTCGCACCGCTTCCCCGGCCATGCTGAGGCCGCGTCCCACATACAGCAACTAGAAGGATGTGCAGCTATGACATACAACTATCTACTGGGGCTTTGGGGGGAAAAAAATAAATAAAAATCTTTAAAAAAAAAAAAAAAGAGAGGGGGAGAAATCTGTTCTATAAGAAATAATGATGCCTGTAACATTTTGTCCTGACTGGCCACCTTAGCCTGGGAAAGAATATTAAATTCATACCCAACTTGTTAAATTTCCAGGATTAACCAATGAAGTTACTTGGGACATATGTTCTCTCCTTTTACAGCCTATAGGTAATAGGAAATATCTTGCTAATTCAGAGTCCAGTAATTTAGGGTTTATGAAAACAAGATATTATATATGTGATCTCATTGGGTAAAAACACTAATGAGTTCTGCTTTATATAAAAACTACTAATGAATAGAATCAGCTGTCTAAATGGCTAAAAATATAACTCAGATCGTTCTTTGTATAGCATGATTCTGCTCTCTTCAAAAATCTTCGCCAAAGCTCCCTTCCTTGCTTATTGAATGTGCAAAATTCATTTTCCTGAAGACTCGATTCCTCTATAATTATTTTGGCTGGTTTGGTCCAGGAGTCAAGCCGGTACCTTCAGCACACCGCTCAGGCGTTCTGAGCCTGCCGTGTGCTGCTGGCGCCGGGTGGGCGGCAGTTCCCCAAACAGGCATCACCAGTCCTAAGGCCAGAACAGCACAGCCTGGGGCAGTGCCTGCCGGGGAGGGTCGTTGGGGCTGGGGTCTGGCCCAAGGCTGCTGTGGGAGCAGGTGTGAAACAGGAGCCAAATCCTGAGTGGCTTTCACGTGGTTCTCAGTGTGGCCTTCTCCCAGCTTTTCCACCATGTTTTCCACATACCCTCAGCAGTGGGCTTGTCAACAGAAGATGATTGAGGTTGGGCTCAGAGAGAAGTTGTTCTTGTTTACCATCTAAGCTACATTTCTGCTGCCCAAATGCTGCAGGAGTTTTTTGGGTTTTTAAAAAACTCTTAAATTTGAAATCATTTTAGATTTACAAAAGAGTCACAGAAATAGTACAGAGAGTTCCCATAAACCCTTCACCCAGCTTTCCCTAGTGTTAAGATCTGACATAACCATAGTACCATCATCAAAACTAAGAAAAGCACATTGCTGTTATTAGCTAAATTACAGACTTCATTCAGAGTTCATTAGTTTTTCCACTAATGTCCGTGTTATGTGCCAAGATTCAGTCCAGGCTTCAATCCACATTGCGTTTAGTTACCAGGTCTCCAGCCTCCTCTGATCTGACAGTTCTGTCTTTCCTTGTCTTTCATGACTTTGACACTTTTGAAGAGTACTGATCAGATGTTTTGTAGAATGTCCTTCAATTTGGCTTTCTCTGATGTTTTCTCATGATTGGATTGGGGTTATGGATTTTGGGGAGGCATACCACAGAGGGGGTGTGTCTTCCTTAGTGCACTGTATCATATCACATGCATATCAGGTACGTGATGTTGATGTGCCTTAATATTGGTGATATTAACTTTGATCACTTGGTTAAGGTAACATCTGGGCCAGATTTCTCACCTATAAAGTTACTATTTTTCCCCTTTATAAATAAGAAGTGTTTTGGAGGAGATACTTTTATTGCTGTACTGTTCTAACCGTGACTTTCAATTTCCTTCCTTTTACATTTTGTTAGAATTCTTCTATAAGGAAAAATTTCCCCTTTTCTCCATTTTATTTATTCATTCAATCATATATTTATTTCAGTACAGACTGCATGGATATTTATTTTACCTTTTGAGTTATAATCCAATACTATTGTCCTTTGTTTTGTTTCTAAAATTGTTCCCACTTTGGCGCTGGGAACTCTTTTAGGTTGCCTCCTGTGTTCTTCAAACGTGCATCCCTCCTCTTTTTTCCTTTAACACTTCCTTACTTTCTGACACTACAAGATGTTCCATGATCATCTTGTATTTTCCCAGGCTCAGCCCCTGGAATCTACCACTTCTCCAAGGAGCCCTTGTTTCTTTTATTTTAGAGAGTGGTATTTAGAAAGAAAAATCTGGGCACCTAGGTATTAGTGCTACCGGACTGTCACTGCTCCTAGGCCCTCGCAGTGGACACAGACAGGAAATATATGTATAATAACCCATGCATCCACAAACATCTGTATTTCTGTAACTATCTATCTGTATTTATGTTAAAAAGAAAAACAAAACCATGAATTCCTACTGATACCTCTTCTCCAATCCAGTGCCACAGGGTTCGTTTGTAATGAACCTGTTTGCTTGTTTGTAACTTCTTTCACCATGAGAAATCTCTCATTTTCTATAATGTATTTACTTAAGTGTTTGACACTAGTATACATGTAAAGTAATTTCAGAATTGCTAACCCATACTCTATGAGAAACAAGTTTACCAGCTAGAGTACACTGTTTGTGTATTGTTATTTTTGTCTTTAGCCTACAGTATCCAGTCAAAAAACTGTTTTCTATAGTCAGGTACTTTTTTACCCAACCCCTTCAGTGTGGTTATGTCATTCATTAGTAATACAGTTAAATTCTTTGGTCATGGTCTGCATTCCATCTTGGGTTCCCCCCATGTCCTAGTTGATTCTTATTTTAATTTGCACACAGTAAAAAACACTCTTTTTGATGTACAGTCATCTGTCACTTAATGACGAGGATTAGTTCTACGTAATGTGTTGTTAGGCAATTTTGTCATTGTGCAAACATCATAGAGTGTACTTGCACAAACCTAAATGGTATAGCCTACTACCCACCAAGGCTATATGGTACTAATCCTATGGAACCACTGTCGTATATGCGGTCCATCATTGACTGAAACATCATGATGCGGCACATGACTGTGTAGTTCTATGGATTTTTACAAATGCGTAAGAGTCAGGTATTTATACCATAGTACCAAAGAGAGTAGTTATATCACCCCCCAAATTTCCTCATGTGCCCCTTTGTAGTTAACCCCTCCTCTCTCTTAGTAACCACTGATCTGTCTTTCTGTCCCTATACTTTTATTTTTTCCAGAATGTCATATAAGCAGAATCATACAATAGATAGCCTTTGGGTTCTAGCTTCTTTCACTTACCAAAATGCATTCAAGTTCATCCAAATTATTTCATGAATCAAGAGTTTGTTCTTTTTACTGATGAGTAGTATTCCATTGTATGGATGTAAAACTGTTTATCTGTTCCCTGTTGAAGGACATCTGTGTTATTTCCCATTCGGGGCGTTTATAAATATAACTGCTATGAACATTTGCATACAGGTTTTTGTGTGAATACATGTCAAGAACTGTGAAGGGTCTGAGATTTTACCTTACTTGCAGACTAACTTGGATGCTGGCAGAAGATCCAAGACTCCTGGGTCAGAGACAAAGGATTTTATTACTCACAGCAATAGCAATAGCCAGAGTTTTAGCATTTTCTTTGTACCAGTTCCCTGAACCCTAGTTCCCACAGGGTGATGTGAGGAGGGCCAGGTGACACTCACAGACACAGTAGGTTGTGCTAAAGGAGAGGGACCCTGAACTTAGAGAAACTGAGTTTTCTATAATGGACTATAAACATGCTTGTCCTGTGCTCCAGAATTAGGTATTGTCTTTACACTGGATAATAAGCATGCCTGCCTTTTGCTCTGAAGGAAGACATTATCTCTATTTTCCAAGGCTGTTCTCTATATAAACATCCTTGAAAAGATAGACCAGAGGTTCTTAAGATAAGAACATAGATTATTGATTTGAGATATTTCCTCTTTTCTAATGTAGGATTTTAGTGCCATAAATTCCTTCTCAGCACTGCAATAGCTGCATCCTACAAATTTTCATGTTTTGTTTAATTTTCATTCAATGCTATGTAATTTTTCATTTTCTTTGTGATTTCTTTTCTGAGTGGTGAATTATTTAAAGCCTGTTCTTTAATTTCCAAGTGTTTGGAGATTTTCACCTTGTCTTTCTTTACCAATTTCTATTTTGATTCCATTATGGTCAGAGGACATACTCTGTATGATTTCAGTTCTTTTAAATTTTTTAAGGGTTGTTTTATAACTC